ATTCTTGTTTTTATTCACTTCTAAGCCTCAGGGCCATTCACAGCTCTGCTTACTTCAGGCTAGTGGTGTTTCCGATAGAAAGGGCTGTCATACGCCCGCTCTCCTAGCCAGCTGCTGTGTCCTTCAGGTTAGGGATACTCAACTGACCACACGTGGACCATCGGTCCTGTCCTAACAGATAGATGTAAGGGGGAAGCAGGGACTGGTGAGAAGTGGGCTGTGCACCTGAGATGGCCAAGAAGGTGCACTCACCTGTGGGCTGAAGAAAGAGGAAGAGTGGCCTCAGGTCTGGACAGGACCTGGGGTGCAGTGGAGGCCCCACCATGAAGGAGCTGCTGCTACCGGGGCCTCGATGTTCTAGAAATGGAAATGCTCTTGGTGGAGTTTGGATGAAAACAAGCATAAACATCCCCCAGTTTTCACAGGGGTGTGTTCCTGGGATATCCCATGCTTGTTGAAGCCAGAAAACCCACTGTGTAGCCTCCAGGGTTCCGTGCTGACAACAGACGTCCCAGCCCTTTGCCTGGCTGTGGGGGGACGTCATCTGATGTCCAGCAGAGCACTGCCCTCAACGTCGGAGAGCTCTGCCACTGGATACCAGCTCCCTGCAACTTAAATGTCTCTTCTGGAGAGGGAAGCCCGCTTTAGGGAAGTCCGTGAGGGCTCAGGTGAGGGAGCCTGGGTCCCAGACCCAACTGCAGTAGCTGCCACTGTCCAGAGCGAAGGGCTCATGGATACAAAGGTGACAGGTGACAGGTGGAGGCCAACAGGAGATGTTTCTGTTAAGAACTTTGACCATGATCTTGCGTCTTACTTGTCTACTGCAGCTACAGCAGGAATCCCAGCAGTGGACGGCCTTCACTGACAAAGTGCTTCTCTCTTCACTGAGGAGACTGGTGGCATTGCTGTGAGCCTTCGAGTCGGAACCGACCCATAGCTGAGCCTCCGGTGGATTTTCAGAGGCGGTAAATTGCAGGAAAGGAGATTGCCCACACTTCTCTTATGCAGCAGCTGGTGGATTTGAACTGCATACCTTTGGATTACAGCACAGCTTTTTTTTTAAAAAAATAGTTTTTACATTTTTTAAAATTAATTTAAATGAAAGTTTACAGACTTAGGGTACCCAGCCATTCATTGTTGCACTTTTCTCCCTGCTCCCTCCCCATTCATTCTTTTCCTTGAAAAGAAAACCTCTTTCATTGTTTTCTGCCTCTAGGAGGCTCAGGAGTCCACATTCTAGGGGAAGGCTGGCTTCCTCTTGGCCCCGAGGGAGGATCTTTGCTCCTTGGCTTTCGGGGACCAGCACTTGGCGTGGTGCCCATCTTCTTCCATCTCTGTTTGCTAACTTGTTTGTTTAAATTCTTTTTTTTTAAATTATATTTTTTGGGGTTTTTTTTTTTTTGTGTGTGTGTGTGTGTACCATCAAATCAACAACATCAAGAACTCTGGAGAACAACCACTTGGCCAACTGACTGGAAGAGATCTATATTTGTTCCCATCCCAAAGGAGGGTGACCCAACTGAGTGTGGAAACTATAGAACAATCTCATTAATTTCACATGCAAGCAAGATTCTACTGAAGATTATCCAAAAATGACTGGAACAACATATCAGCAGAGAACTGCTAGAAGTCCAAGCTGGGCTTAGAAGGGGTCGTGGTACTAGGGATATTGTAGCT